CACTTATCTGTGCTAGAAACTTTACAGGTGATGAGAAAACAGTGATGAACAAGGCAGACGCTAAACTGGTCTTCAATGACCTAATGAAAAAGACAAACATTAAAAACAAAGAATATAAGTAATCACCTTATTCAAGTTGTGAATAGTCCTAAAATTAAAAAACTACATGCTGTCATGAAAATGTATGCAAGTGTTACTAATCTAGTGTGCAGGATTAAAGAAGGAATATCTGAGGAAGGAATTTTAATTGAAGCCTAAGCAGGAGTTGTCAAGCAAAGAATAGTAAAGAGAAGGAACAAGGAAAAATTCGGTTTATTTGAGGGGCTGAAACTAAGCAAGTATGACAACTCTACTATCGTAATTCACTTGCAGTAGTATCCGTTTGCCTTGTGGGGTCAACTTTGCCAAGTTCTCCAAAATACAGCTAACTTCATCAACATTCCAGGAATACTTTTTCAACTGAGTATGTAGGAGACAGTTGAGTTTAGGACATAAACAAGACAATGGCTCAATGCATTAGGGAATGTAACCTGGCTAGAGAAGGAAGAAAGAAAAAGTTAGGGCTGATAGCTTGAAGAAATATATTTCTGATGAAGTTTGAATATGCATGAAACATATTGAGAACATATGGTTTGGCAGGTATTTTCCTAGGACAGAGTGTAAGAAGGTACCTAAGACAAAATTTCTACCTTCAAGGAGTTCATGATGATGGCAGCAGGAGGCAGACAAATCCTGGGCAGACAGTGGTGGGTCCCTGGTGAAACCCAATCTTCAAACTAAAGACAGTTGAAAGCCTGAAACACAAGCTAAAAGTCTTGGGGAAATCCACAGACTGGATTGAGAACCTCTCTTCCCAAGTAGTGCACTTTCCTCTGATTGATCCTCACCCTTTACCTGTTTTACATATACATACCCTTCCCTAATTGGTTTTTTACATTGTCATGCCCACCTTTAATGCTTTTGTTTTAGCCTTTTCTGCATACTCTCAGCCCAATCAGCATGCAATCCCCATTCTGAGCCCAAAAAAGCCCCAGATCCAGCCACACAGAGAGAGAAACCACCCAACTTCTGGTGGGGGCCCATCCTTATGTCCCCTCTTTGCTAAGAGCGATTTCGTTGCTCAGTAAAATTCTTCTCTTCCCTCCTCACCCATTGATTGTCAGTGTGATCTATTTTTGGACATGGGACAAGAACTTGGGACCCACCAAATGCAAGTATACTGAAGGCTGTAACAACTGTGGCCCTCAGCCCTCTGATGGCAGAGGGCAGTCACCCATGCAACAGGAAGCAGCAGTGGAGCCAACCCAGACCCAGAGTCATGAACTGGAGCAAGGCGAGGGGCTGACAGAGCTGTTAACTTGCTGCCATCCATCGGGCTCCAGACAGCAGGACTAAATGAGCTAATTAGCACACTATAACATACCCTCTGAGGCTCCTGGGTCATGGGCACCACTGCCTGGGTGCCACCACGTTGCTTTTGTCTCAATGCCAGAGTCCATCATAAGAGAAGCTTGAGACACTCCTGGTCCCTGGTTTAGCCACAAGCCCTGCACAGAGCCCCCTACAGTGCTGGCACTCAAAACAGCTGGCCAAATCCCACACTTTCTCACTCACACACCGTCTCCTGCCAGGGGCTAAGTGTGCAGTCACAGCTGCTGCAGCATTTGCACCAGAGGGCAGGCTGGGCACGGCCTGGCAGGCTGAATGTATGGGGCATCTTCTGCAGCAAAAAGGCCTGAGCAGCTGGGCACAGTGGCTCACGCCTGTAATCCCAACACCTTGGGAGGCCGAGGCGGGTGGATCACGAGGTCAAGAGATTGAGACCATCCTGGTCAACATGGTGAAACCCTGTCTCTACTAAAAATACAAAAATTAGCTGGGCATGGTGGTGCGTGCCTGTAATCCCAGCTACTCAGGAGGCTGAGGCAGGAGAATTGCCTGAACCCAGGAGGAGGAGGTTGCGGTGAGCCGAGATCACGCCATTGCACTCCAGCCTGGGTAACAAGAGCAAAACTCCATCTCAAAAAATAAATAAATAAATAAAAATTAAAAATTAAAAAAAAAAAAGAGGCCGGGCACAGTGGCTCAAGCCTGTAATCCCAGCACTTTGGGAGGCCGAGGCGGGTGGATCACGAGGTCAAGAGATCAAGACCATGCTGGTCAACATGATGAAACCCCGTCTCTACTAAAAATACAAAAAAATTAGCTGGGCATGGTGGTGCGTGCCTGTAATCCCAGCTACTCAGGAGGCTGAGGCAGGAGAATTGCCTGAACCCAGGAGGCGGAGGTTGCGGTGAGCCGAGATCATGCCATTGCACTCCAGCCTGGGCAACAAGAGCAAAACTCTGTCTCAAAAAAAAAAAAAAAAAAAAAGGCCTGAGCAAGGCCTGGGCAGGGGTGTCACCAGCCAGACGTCTCTGGCTGGCAAAATTGGCTGAGAAAAATTCTGCACCAATAACATAGCTGTGGATAGATAAATGTATAAGCAAATAAATATGCCAATTTTTAGTAGTGGCATAAATAAAGCAGCCTCTGCATGTGTCTCTTCTGAATTGGCTGCAGGGCACTGCAGAGAGCAACGAAAATGTCAACATACACCACACACACACACCATACACTCACATACACACAGGTTCTTATCTCAGAATGCCAATTTTACTCTTTACTTCTTCCTCCCTGGTAATTTAATACGTTCATCTTGATTCAATGTATGTCTTCTTTTACAATGGAGATCTTAAGAAATAGGTGTGGTTACTCATGTTCTCACTCATAGGTGGGTGTTGAACAATGAGAACACACGGACACAGGGAGGGGATCAAGCATCACACACTGCGGTCTGTTGTGGGGGAATAGGGGAGGGACAGTTGGGGGTAGGGAGTTGGGGAGGGATAACATGGTGGGAAATGCCAGATATAGGTGATGGGGATGGAGGCAGCAAACCACATTGCCATGTATGTACCTATGCAACAATCCTGCATGTTCTTCACATGTACCCCAGAATCTAAAGTGCAATAAAAAATATATATATGTATATGTATATTTAAAAAAAGAAAGAAATAGGTGTTGTTATCTTGGGACAGTTTCCTAACAGGAGCATGAATAAATCCTACCCAACTCCACCCAACACACACACCACCCACACCAGGTTTTCTTGTATGTAAAATAAAACAAAAACAAAAACAGGACACTGAGTATGACAACATAAAAGAAAAACATCGCTTCTGGAATTATTGGCTCTAAGAGTCAGGGGAGTGCAAATAAAGTGTAAACAAACATAAAATATAAATAAATGTAAATAAAGTGTAAAGCTCTTAGTTTTACAGAAGGTCACTCTTTATATTTAAGTCTTGCATTCTCTACAATGACCCTAAGGAAGGACATACTTAGGCACGACCCTGAGGACAGTGGAAACATTGAAGAGTTTCAAGGTACAAAGTGTCATAATCATATGTGAATTGTAAAATGATCATTCTGGCTTTTATAGAGACAGTGGATTGGATAAACCAAGATTGGAACCACTTCAAAAAGATTTTGGAATACTCTCTGAGAGATGGATAATGGATTAGAGCCTAGTCAATCTCAACAGCCATAATAAAGGTAAGATTGTTATGTATCCATCCACTGGAATAATTTAGAAGCACTTCAAACTCAAATATTTAACTTAATGTTGACTTAATTTTCTTTGAGAGTAACTTAGAATAAATAAAGAGTAAATGATAGATTTCTTGCTTGGAAATTTGTTTTTCACAGTGCCATTTACCAATTAGGAAGACAAAAGAAATAGGTGTTTTTTTGTTTGTTTAATTTTTGAGAGAGAAGGGGCAGGGGGAAGTTTGTAAGTTTCTAGGTAAATTTTGGAAAAATTAACTTTAAGTAGCTTGTAAACCATTTGTGTGAGTAGATACCCAGAAAGTTATTGGCTAAGGAGTGTAGATTCTGAATCATTCAAATCTGGGCTAGATCCTAGATCTATTAATTATCTTTCTGCAATCTTTATAAGTTTTGGTTTCCTAATTTGTAAACCAAATTAACTAATATTACCCTCTCATAATTATTTTCTTAATTAAATATTCAAATACTTATAAAATACAGATCCAGGGTTATGGAAAAACCAAGTTTGGAATTTTCTTAGAGCATACAATTTTTTTTTTTTTTTTTTTTTTTTCTGAGACGGAGTTTCGCTCTTGTTACTCAGGCTGGAGTGCAATGGCGCGATCTCGGCTCACCGCAACCTCCGCCTCCTGGGTTCAGGCAATTCTCCTGCCTCAGCCTCCTGAGTAGCTCGGATTACAGGCATATGCCACCATGCCCAGCTAATTTTTTGTATTTTTAGTAGAGACGGGGTTTCACCATATTGACCAGGATGGTCTCGATCTCTTGACCTCGTGATCCACCCGCCTCGGCCTCCCAAAGTGCTGGGATTACAGGCTTGAGCCACCGCGCCCGGCCGCGAGCATACAATTAAAGTAGGTACAAAATATAAGCAACTATAATGATAAGAGATGCATAAGGGAAAAAAGTAAAGGGCACAGAAGGAGGCATTAATAAGGTAGAGAATCTGGACTGAAGAAGTGTGAAGCCATATGTTTGAGAATTATAGTATAAAGGATTGATAACTACTTAATAAGGGAAGGCAAGAGGCTTTGCCTTTAATTCCTAAGCTGAGAAACACAGGGCTGAATTTGCATGTTAGGAAATAACCTATCCTTCAAATATATTGATTAGCATTAGGAAAAATATAAACTTTAGTTTTAGTGCTCTACTGTATTCATCATCAACTTCTTCACACAAGTGGTGAAAAAACTAAACCAAGAAAGTCCTCTATGTTCTAGATGTTTATAAGATTTTTCTTTCTTCCCTCTTCCTCTTGTCTATACTTTGCACACAGGTAAAAAGCAGAAATTTCAAATCAATGAGTTACAGCTTTATCTTTTTACCATCCTATGTTACATAAAATTTCACCAAATCCATTTTACGTACATTTCTCCTTCAGTGCCCACTTATTGTGACTTCTTCAAAGAGAAGAGGAGAATAAATTTATCCTGGATCTGCTTTGTTTTCACTCCATAAACAATAGGATTTAGAGCAGGTGGGATAGCCACATAGAGGTTGGCAAATAGGATAAGTACATTTCGAGGGACACTGTGTCCAAAGCGATGAGCAAGGATGGAGAAGAAGGCGGGGGTGTAAAACATCAGGATGACACAGACATGGGAGCCACAGGTGCTGAGGGCTTTTTGGCGGGCACCCTGGGATGAGAGTTGGAACACAGCACGAAGGATGAAGGCATAGGAAACAGCAATAAAGATCACATCTGGGCCGGGCGCGGTGGCTCAAGCCTGTAATCCCAGCACTTTGGGAGGCCGAGGCGGGTGGATCACGAGGTCGAGAGATCGAGACCATCCTGGTCAACAAGGTGAAACCCCGTCTCTACTAAAAATACAAAAAAAAGTTAGCTGGGCATGGTGGTGCGTGCCTGTAATCCCAGCTACTTAGGAGGCTGAGGCAGGAGAATTGCCTGAGCCCAGGAGGCAGAGGTTGCGGTGAGCCGAGATCGCGCCATTGCACTCCAGCCTGGGTAACGAGAGCGAAACTCCGTCTCAAAAAAAAAAAAAAAAAAAAAAAAGATCACATCTGAGATAACAGTCATGAGAGGTACAGCAAACCCATACCAGATGTTGATAGAGATGTCTGCAGACGAAAGCCGAGCAACACCTATATGTTCACAGTATGTGTGTGGGATGGTATGTGTCCTGCAAAAGGGTAACCGTTTTAGCAGAAAAACATCTGGCAGGATGATGGAGAAGCTTCTCACAACAACGCTCACCATAAGCTTGACGATCACCTGAGGAGTCAGGATGGTGGTATATCTCAAGGGGAAGCAGATGGCAACATAGCGATCAAATGCCATGGCCAGCAGGATGGCTGAGTCCACCGCAAAGCTGAAGTGGAGGAAAAACATCTGAGTGAGACAACCAGAGAAGGTTATTTCTTGGGAGCCGAGCCAGAAGTTACTGAGCAGTTTGGGCACCGTGGCAGTGGACAGGAGGAGGTCTGTGGTGGCCAGCATAGAGAGGAAGAAAAACATGGGCTCATGGAGGCTGTGTTCGATTGCAATGAGGTAGAGAAGGATGCAATTGCCCACAACGGCCACAACATAGATGACACAAAAGGGAATCCCAATCCACATGTGGAACTTCTCCAGGCCAGGTATCCCAACAAGGATAAAGGAGCTGGGGTTGTAACAACTCAAGTTATACATGGTCTCTTCAGTCTGGGATCCACTGGTTCTTGAACACTGAAGACAAAACAACTGTAAGAATGGGCTGTGAAACCTATAGTTCCACCCAGGTGCTGAACATTGTTGAGGACTGCAACTGTCACACCCAGTGTAACCACCTGAAGCACCTCCTGTTCCAGGAAGAGCTGGCACCTGTAAAACTGACCCTTCTCTTGGCATCAGATCCTTCACTTGCCCCTTCTCTTTGGCATCAGACCCACCTCATTTCTTTATTTTGTTTAGATATTTCTTTAGATATTTATTGATTTAGATTTAGATTTCTTTAGATATTTACTAATAAGTCTATGAAATGGTTATTTTTGTAGGTCAGCAATTTCATATGATTAAACATAATTCACTGTTTTTCTTTTTCAATGCAGATTATTAAGGATAGACTCAGGTTTTAAAGACAGGAAAAACCAAGTATAAGAAGAAGGAATGGGCCGGGCGCGGTGGCTCAAGCCTGTAATCCCAGCACTTTGGGAGGCCGAGGCGGGTGGATCACGAGGTCGAGAGATCGAGACCATCCTGGTCAACAAGGTGAAACCCCGTCTCTACTAAAAATACAAAAAAGTTAGCTGGGCATGGTGGTGCGTGCCTGTAATCCCAGCTACTTAGGAGGCTGAGGCAGGAGAATTGCCTGAGCCCAGGAGGCGGAGGTTGCGGTGAGCCGAGATCGCGCCATTGCACTCCAGCCTGGGTAACAAGAGCGAAACTCCGTCTCAAAAAAAAAACAAAACAAAAAAAAAAAAAAAAAAAAAAAAAAAGAAGAAGGAGTAAGGAGACAGGGTAGGGAGTCAGAATAATAAAAATATTAAAAATAACCTGGATGACGATGAGCTGTGAGAAAAGGGGAGCAACTGACTTTTATAGAGCAAATACGTTTCAGACAATGGGTCTGATCAAATAAACTGAAGAATGTGGATAAAGCAAAATAAAAAAATAATAAAAATGAATAAAAAAGAAAAGGCAGGTTCCAGTGTTGTGTGTTTTGGTAGAGTTTCGTTTCATTGGGATTGAAATATGGTTCAGAGTGTGTGTTTACTGGAATTGTTAATATGAGAGAATGCATGTATCAGAAAACACACAGGGACAAGTGAACAGCATTACCCTGACTCAAGCAGAGAGCAGTGAGTTCAGAGGATAATTTATGACTTGAAGGTCAATGTCCTAAACTCTGGAGAATCTCTGATGTTAACAAAGGAGACAACTTTACCTCTCCATGAGTTTGAAAATGTCTACATAACAGAAAACACCAAGGACAATTAGTCCCAGGTAAAGTCAGCAGAGCAGATTCATATCTTCTAAAGATGAGATAAAGAATAATAAAAGAAGTTTTACCCCAATGTTTTCAGTTATGGCCTGCCAGTTCTTGGACTTCATCTGTGAGAAACTCCAGCTTTGTATTAAACAGAGCCCACTCTTGAAGGTAGCTTTTGCACTGAAAACATCCTTTGAGTTTTAACTTTGCTATTGTGACCTATTTTATAGAGTACTTTTGAAAAAGAAAGAAAATCAGGGGCATGATGCCAGGGAACCGCAACATTAGAGAGGCACCCCAGAACATGAGCCATGGTTTGGTTCTTATCTTCCCCAACAAATTTACAAAGTCCTTCAAAAAGCATTTAAGGAAAGAGTGGATTTTCTGTGCTATCACACCAACTCTGTATTATTATGTTTTGTGAGGATCTGTAGCCTTCTTCCTAAGGAAGAGTAGGTCAAGCCAAGTCGTTTTAGTGGCATCTGCCAAGTCCCTAGTCAAAGCTTTACATAGGTGAGCTTCCCTCCCTTAATTTTGTCACTGACAGTCATTAATTAGCTGAAGTGGGCATATTATATTTTACTAGGAGACATGTAACTAGTTCTCACTGCCCAAAGGCAACCTCTGAATGAAAATCTGTTCCAAGTTACATCTCCTGGTCTGATGCAGACTGAACTTTTACCAGCACTGAGCTTATGGGAATAACATATAGCAGCAGAGTCTTCATGAAGTCCTCCCTAAAATGGTGGTCACATGATCTCTTGTGGTCTAAAAGGGAGTAGACCAAAATGAACTATGAAAAAAAAAGGTCTCTATAATTTATGCTAAATTTCATTTCAACTTCTTGGAGCACATTTTGCCAGGGTTATAGGGAAAACATTTAAAGGCGAAAAAAATTAATAACTAATTATTAAAACTATGAAGGAAAGCCAAAGAAAACATCCAAACCGAGGTTTGTTGGTTCAGCCAAATCTTATTCTGATCTCATTTCTTCTACCCAAAGAGCTCTTTCAGCTCACTGCAGCCTCTGCCTCCCAGGCTCAAGCGATCCTCCTATCTCAGCCTCCTGAGTAGCTGGGGCTATAGGTATGTGTCACTATGCCTAGCTAATTGTTGTATTTTTTTTTTAAAGAGAGGGGGTCTCACTATGTTGTCCAGGCTGGTCTTAAACTCCTGAGCTAGAGCAATCCTCCCACCTCGACCTCCCAAAGTGCTGAGATTAAAGTCATGTACCACAGCACCTAGTCCCTCTTTCATTCTGAGTTTCATTTTGCACTACTGGTCACATAAGCTGGTCTACAAGTGAAGTCAGTATTCTCCCACCATTATTTATCTCCTTATTATAGAATCATTTGTGTCATAAAAACCTCTTTCTCCCAGGGTCGTGTCTTCCAGGACACAACCTCTATTTGAACATTGATTAAACTAAAGGCTCTGTTACTTGATAAAATCAAAGAGCCAGTGTAGGGTTTTTCTTCTCACTAGTTGACTGGAGTTTTTTACTTACCAAGCCCTCTTCTCTTCTGGGTCACAGAATTAGTAAGATGTATCTATTTAAAAGGATGCAAACAAAATTTTAGGCTGATGAAAATTCTACTAAGGGGTAAAATGAAAACATTTATGCTTTCTCATGTTCCCAGGAGATGACAGGTTGTCCTCTCCTGTATTTTCTAGTACCACATAACGGATGGGACTAACCATATTAACTATGTTCCCTTCAGATGGAATGTATCTTGGGATCTTAGTAGTAGCTTGTGGATATCAGATTCCTGGGAGATTCAGCCTAACACAAATCAAACTCAGTTCAGATAGAATTCTCAAAAGCATAAGAATTTTTCTGTATGTTCAGTATTCTTTAATTAGTGTATTTGTATAAAATTGCACCAATACTATACAAATACAATTGAGATTTTTCTACATACTTGATTTTAGAAGGCAAATCCTCCAATTATTTATTTATTTATTTATTTATTTTTACACTTAGCATTGCCAAGAAAATTTCATAAGCAGTTCTTAATTGGCACACACACACACACACACACACACACACACACACACACTTTTAGATTGCATTAAATCTTTTCTTATCACTAAAATATTTTAGGGAAATATTTGATATGTTTATAATACTGTATATTCATACTACCAATATTTTAAATATTATATATCTTCTCATTAATATAGCCTCTTTTGATTTCCTCAATAATGTATTAAAATGTCCATATGTTCTATATGTTCTTAAAACATGCAAATACCTCCCTTTTTTAGAAGCAGGATGTATCAGTGTCCTATACTCACTATAAAAAAATTATCACAAACTTCACAGCTTAAAATGACACAAATGTATTATGAACTATAGCTCTGTATTTCAGGAGTCTGGCATGAGTTTCACTGGACTAAAGCAAGGTGTATGAACAGCATGTCTTTTGGAATACACTAGAAGAAAATTTGATTCCTTGCTTTTTCCAGCCTCTAGAAGTTTTTCTTTCTTCTTCAAAACCAGTAATGTTACTTATATATTTCTGCCATAGTCATATTTTCCTCTTTCTCATTCTCACTTCCTCTTCTGCTTTTAAGAACTTTTATCATTGTATCTAAGCAATTCAGATAAACCAGAATAATCTATGGTTTAGCCATTAGTTTAAGGTTCATCAATTAGTTTCATCAGAATTTCATCTGATGATTCTCTTTTGCCATATAATCCAACATAATCACAGGTTCTAGAGTTTGGGATGAGAATTTCTACTGGAGGACATTATTCTGCATAGTTTCATCATTTGTAAATTAAATTTGCCACACATTACTCTGTTTTTTTAATTAAACTTTTATTTTAGATACAGGGGCACATGTGCAGGTTTGCTACTTGGTATATCGCACCCAGATGGGAGTATAGTACCCAACAGATAGTTTTTCAGCTCATATCTCTGTCCCTCCCTGCCCCCTTAGTAGTCCACAGAATCTATTGTTTTCATGTTTATGTCCATGTGTACTCAGTGGTTGCCTCCCACTTATAAGTGAGAACATGCAGCATTTAGTTTTCTGTTCTTGCATTAATTTGCTTATGATTATAGCCCCCAACTCATGTTGCTGCAAAGGACATGATATCATTGTTTCATATTGCTGCGTAGTATCCACATTTTCTTTATCTTTATCTAATCCACCATTGATAGACACCTAGGTTGACTCCATGTCTGCCATTATAAATAGCACAGCAATGAACATTTGAATACATGTGTCTATTTTCCCTTGAGTGTATACACAGTAATGGGTCCAATGGTAGCTCTGTTTTAAGTCCTTTGTCAAATTCCCAAACTGCTTTCCACAGTGGCTGAACTAAGTTACATTGCCACAAAAAGCATACAAGTGGGCCGGGCGCGGTGGCTCAAGCCTGTAATCCCAGCACTTTGGGAGGCCGAGGCGGGTGGATCACAAGGTCAAGAGATCGAGACCATCCTGGTCAACATGGTGAAACCCCGTCTCTACTAAAAATACAAAAAAATAGCTGGGCATGGTGGTGCGTGCCTGTAATCCCAGCTACTCAGGAGGCTGAGGCAGGAGAATTGCCTGAACCCAGGAGGCGGAGGTTGCGGTGAGCCGAGATCGCGCCATTGCACTCCAGCCTGGGTAACAAGAGCGAAACTCCGTCTCAAAAAAAAAAAAAAAAAAAAAAAAAAAAAAAAAGCATACAAGTGTTCTCTTTTCTCTGCAGCCTTGGTACATC